CTTTACAGTAATTGCTTTGCAAAAGAATTTTATTTGTGTGTTTGTTTAAATTAGCGGATTTAGATTTACACCGACAAAGAGTTCATATGGCGAGTTTTCAGCTTTACTGAATGAAAAAGACTTCGTCCCTCCGATGCATTTTTACAAGCTGATACCCGAATTGCATCACCGAACGTCCATTACCTCATATGAAAGAATCCAAAGTATTTGACGGGATTTGAACCAACAACATTGATAGAAGAGTGATTCGAAGTTGACAACATTTGTCACTCGGTCACGGGTCCCCCGTATTGTAATATAATTTACATGAATCAGAAAGATTGTATTGGATGTTACTAGTATATTGACAAACATAAAAAACTGTGTCTCTCTATAAATTATAATCAGTATAACATAACATAAGAATTCAAAGGACGTGTACCATCATAATAAATGTTCCAGTTAGATTCGGCAACTGTTGAAGGTGTCACCACCCCAGGAACGTATGTTGTTAGTTCGCAAACGCCCGTGTCCGCATTGTGGTTAACAGACGTACATTCATCCACACCATCACATAATATCGCACATTGTATTATGCTAGTGTTTAAATGATGCACTAAATTATCACTATATCGTGCATTACTCGACGAGAGAGTAAACTGAGTGAACTTGCTGGTAAGGACTGTTTTAAATACAAAAAATGTGACACATTCAAGGATCCAAATCAACTTCTTCTCTTTAAACCAATGCATTGTATCGTTTTAAATTCAATGTTTCTTACATTAAATGTACTTATTTTGCATCACAATCCTTACTTGAAATTCAATAAAAAAATGAAATCTTTCTTCAAATGCAATGACCCAATCCTTTCCCTAAATGCAATAATTAGCACAATCCTTTCTTCTTCAATAACAATGTATAAGGCATTCCTTCATTCAAATGCAATAAATAACGCTGTTCTTCCTCCTCATAAAATAAAGGATTGATAAGGCTAAAGTCTAAACAGCTCAAAGTCTGAATAGTATCTGCAGGGTCTTTTAAATAGAAATACCTTGGTGTCTGATTTGCTTAAATTTTGATAAGCTTGAATCATAATCGTAAAATTCCGATTATTCATTTGAAATTAGATATTATTGTTATTCTATGCTATTTATTCGATATCAGTAACAAAAAGGTAGCAGATTCTGGTATTGTGGTATGAAAATTATCATATTTCACTCGTGGGTACCGCCACTTATAAAATATTTCTTTTTTCGATGATAATGAATCATGTATTTATAGAAAAAAATCTTGAATATCCTCTACTGAATATCATCTACATAAATCCTGCATTAACATATACTTAAAAGTAATTTATTTTGAATATTCTTTTTCATTTTTTTTAATATTACAGTTCTTGTCTGTTCTTTACGAAAAATATCAAGACCAAGCATTCGGAACAATAGTTTATTGTGTTGATGAATTCTGAATTATCAAATTTGTTATCTTTACAGCCTGATTTACATAATAATACATTTTGCTTTCAAAATCAACAGAATCTAATGCAATAAATCCAAATTATCCCGGTTTCAATGTAATATTAATTATTTGTTTGAATACTAAGTAAAGTTCTCATTTCTCCAAGGTCTGACAAAACCATTTGCTTTGACAACCAAACCAAAAGAAATCAATATCAATATTTTTGAGCAGAATGGCATTCTTATTTTAGAAAATAAGAATCTACACATTTTATGAAATCATTTGTCATCATAGAAAATTTTATATGAGGGCTTTGCAATGATGAAATCATGAAGTGATGCGCCGAAATCTGTAATTGGTAAACATGTCTTTGTTCTAACTGAATTTCATTGGAAAAATACTGCATCTGGTGTTCACTTAGGGAAAAATATTTCCTTTTGACACTAAAACAATATCCCTTTTTTGTCTACCTTCATTCACTTTTTAACTACAAACATATAATCTCTTATGCAACTTGGTATATATGGATGCGGTCTAAATTCAAATTAGGTCAAGTAGTACTCTGATGAACGGTTCCGATTATTTCCGCCTATCGCGCAATCACTATTGATTATTGGCAATTTGTTGCTATGCCTCACAAGCCTGCATCAAAAATGGCAGCCATATCAACAACAGCCGGCTCTTTTTTGCCAAAAAAGGCGGGGACTATGAAAGACAAGATGACGTCCATGATAGCCACCAAAAATAAGAAAATTACCATTTATTACTTTTTCCTTAATTTTCTCAGCTTAATCATTTAAACATTGTTGATTTTTAATATTTTTATATCAAATGTATTCCTTAAATGTACTTTTAGTATCTATTAATGACGTCAGTAGATCTTTTTTTACAAAAACAGATAATTATTATGAATATTAAATATTTCGAAAAGTTGCTGTTTTTTTTAAAGATGTCCTTATTTTTCTTGCAGTTCGATACTGATTTGTGTTTTTATGACTGCTTAACAAGAAACAACATTTTACATTCAGAATGTGCCAATGAAAGTCATCAATTAAGTATAAGTTTTAGGATAATCTTTCTTTTAAGTAGGTGGGTAGTTGAGTCATTGCAGAATAGACAATACACTTATTGTGAAAAATGAGGAGAATGTAAGATTTCTTCAATTTAAAATCATTCAAGGTTTTAACAGTCAATTTTTAAACGTACTCTGTCCTTTCCCTGAAGAAATGTTATACATATAAAATCTTTGTGGTGTATTTCATTAGTAAATATATAAAACGCATATTAAGAATTAGGCTTTTCATTCGAAGACCTGTTCTTCTAAAAATGTCCTTTCACTGAGCCGCTAAATTTCGCAATCTCCCCTAAATGTCGATAAATCGTCTGACGAGAAATGTCGCAATAGTTGCATTAAATATTGCACAATTTTCTTTTGCTATTAAATATCGCAACACTACCGTTTAATGCCGCAAGATCTACATGTATGATGAAATAAAAAAAAATGTTTGTATATTTTAGTAACTTTGGGACCGATTTATCTGCCGGCTCAGGATAAAAATGGTTTTAATGTCGATAAGTCTGTTTTAAATCACGTTTTTCTTTTATATTTTGGTTTTTGGAGCTCCTATTGAAATAGTTCAACAGTTCTAAAAATAGTTTCATAAATTATGTCCTAATTAGTCTTTTAAAAATCCTTGCAAAGAGTTCCAAAGTTGTAATTGTTTGCGCCCTCAAAATTCGTAGCCAAAGACCCAATAAGTGAGCATCGTGTCTTCGCCTTCAGTTTTTGAGGATGCCTACATGAAGTCACGGTGCAAATTTAGGCGAAAAACTTTCATAGGCGAAGACACGAGATCTGGTTTGCCTGGGCCCTGTATGTGTTGTGTCGTCGTGTCTTCGCCTCAAATTGCAAGATCATTGGCCAGTTTACTTTAATAGTCTTTTACATTTGGAGTGAAACAGGACGACTCGAAAAAATTGGCTTGATACCGTAGTTCGAATCCATGATATCTGGGTTGTTGAATAAAAAATATATTAAAAATATATATGCATTTAATCACCTAACGACTCTTTGTCATACATTATGATCGTTATTGTTTAAAAACCGACTAAGATGACTTCAATTGTCACGAATTATTTTGTATCACAGCAACTCCTTTCCTATCTTATAGATAGCTAGTTCCCAGATCACTTACATTTTAACTTTTCATGGCCATTAATGTCAATTTATCCTTAACTATTTTCTAACAGAAGCATATGAATTAAAATTTCATCCCCATAGGCGAACATAAATCATCGTTAGGCACGCAGTTTCATTCTAAAATGTGCCAAAATGACGACATTTTAAGCACGCGACTCATCTTATAAAACCTACACCCCGAACATGGAACACCAGTCTGATATGCAAGAAATATACATTTGTGTTTGACCAAACGATGCAAAGAATCATATTTTAGTGTTTTTAAATTCTAATCATACTTAAATTCTCCCAATAATTCACAATAAGTGCATTGACTATTCAGCAATGACTCGGAAATTTGTTATATGAAATAATTAAGTATTTTAAGTAGTCAAAAATATAGCAATATTAAGTAACCTGTAGTATTTTGAAATTTATATAAAACCATCATTTTTTCCCATATTCAAAACACACATTATCCATTCATCAGATATATAATAAGATGAAAGTTTTAAATGTCAGTTTTTGTATGTAAAATGTTATTTCGTTAAAATCAGTCATTAGATTTCAAATATTATAAATAGGAAGAACAATTAAGAAATGTTTCAGACTGTTTTAAATTGTTTTGATATTTTTCGTCAGTACTCTCTATATTTATCATTAAAACATAATTACATTAAAAAAGATAACAAAAATACATTTTAGGAACACGATTGAAACAAGTATGAAAAAAAATGACAGGAAAAAAAAAGAAAAAAAAAGATAGTTTCATATTTTTGTCGGCCATCTTAGACACAATCTTGAATTTCTCAGTCCAATTTAGTAATCTACGGACCCAAGCGAACATTTTGGTATATGAAACCCTTTAAAAGCAATAATTACGTCACACCATCTGATACAGTACCGTCCGGTACTGTAAAAACGAAAAAAATTGTTTTTCGAAAAGATAAATTGTTTACCATCTTATGAGCCGTCACAAAGACATTTTATTTGAGTTCTTTCATACGTCTCCTTATTTCAAGAATTTGATAGAGTTATCCCTTTCAGATTCTCATAAAATCCAATGTCGAATAAAAATGTTTAAGTGACTTCGTCAAGGTCAGTTTTAAAAATAATTGATAGTTCCCAAAGAATCGATAATTGTCTTTTGCTCGGCGAAGTACTTGTTCCATTAAAGACTTCAAAGTTTCCTGAAGTCGACAAAAGAAAAAGATCACTGGAGAGCAAAATGAAAACAAAGATTAACGGTGTAAAGTGAAGTTCGGTATATAAAATTTGGTCTATTCGTCCCTTGTGTACTTTGAATTAGGCCTAGGTCATTTATAACGATTTTTGCGTGAAATCAGAGGTCCCTTTTATTCGACAAATAAAAACGAAAGAACAATTAATGGGATATTTTTATTGCAGAAGTTTATTTCAAAATTTATTATACAGCAAATTGATTGGATATTTGTCTAACTAATATGAAATGTAGAATATTTTCCCCATTTATTTCTTTCAATATCTTCCCACGGAAAAGTCTTATATAGTCATATCCACTTTATAGCTCTAAATGATATTTGATTTCATATTTTTCATACTTTCAAACGTAAAATGAAAACTGTAAGAATAAATACAACAGTTTTACTGATGTAATAGAAATATTTTATTTAAAGTTATAGTGATTAGCCAGAATTGTTTCTCTAAACCGAGTAAACCTCTACTTCACAAAGGGTAAGGGGGGTATCCTGGTTGTGGATAATCTTCAAAAACTTTCCTGTCACGTGCTGGGCACATGGGATCTTTACAGGTAAAGACGGCGATGCTGGGGGTCCGACGTAGTATGCGCAGTCAGTTCCGATATTGTTGTCTGAATCTTGTCGGGTAGGGGAAATCAGTAACTGCAAATTCGAATTCCTGTTCTCTACAAAATATACACAAAAGGTGTTAAAATCAAAATAGATATAACAAACAACTTACTTATATTTCATTATGAAAATCTGCAGGGAAAGAAGCAGAGGTAAACACTGGCAAAAAGTCAGGAAATTTCAATACTTTTGGCAAAAATTTGAATGGCAAAAAACCGCGCAACCGTATGTGCAATACGTCTTAAACAACAGCAAAAAACCAAATAAATTTGAGTACATATTGTATTTGTTTATATTACTGCTCGATGTAAAGTAGCAGCTTGTAAGGTATAAAAAAGTACCAGAATGCAACAGTTTAAAACTATTAACACTTTAAGGTACATAAAGTCTCATAACTGAAGATAATGTTTTCATCTTTAAAAAGGGCAAACATGTGTTTAATATTGTTTCATATTAAATCTAGAGCTAGTTAAATACAACTGAATTTTCAAGTAGCAAAGGATGGTTCACATGTTGAAAACTGTAACAAAAAATCTGGAGACAAAGTGACAAAACATCAAAGACTAAAATGTTTTATGAAATGAAATTATATCATTTTGGGGCTTAATGGAATTGAAATAGATTTTTGTTTGATTTTTGTTATATTTTTATGTAACAAAAATAAAAAATAATTTCTATTTAATTTTTGTTGATGTATGGATATAATATTACATGAATAATAAGATTAAACATAAATTAGCTCAAATCAATGCGACTAGCACCTTTGATTTTAGTTTCATATCTAGCACGCGTATTGTTGATGATATTATCACAAGCACTTCCATATGAACAAACTTTACAATATATCATAATTATTAGGAGCATAGCATACTGGGTACCTTATAAAGCTGAAATTTACTTAAATACTAGATTTTACTTTGAGAATAAGTAAGCGTTAAACGTTAAAGCACCAAACAGCCGGATGCATTCTAATATCAAATCGTATTACAAAAAATTCTTTCTTTGGGTTGCCAAGAGAATTTGTGATGCAGACCAAATGAACAAATGTGTAATAAAACATGAAACTATACGATGTTGCTTAAAAAAGTTGGTCTAGTGTGTGTTCGTCGATCAGACCTCCATATTTGCGTTATCAATCCCCTTATAAGTAAACAAATTCACATGTTCATAACTATAACCATGACGTCTGCCAACTTCAACTGAATGGTAAAAATCTTCTTACTGACAGTCGATTCATTCCTAAAAAAGATGATAACATGGGACACTTCTGCAAGACGCCTAAATTCCATTCCCCAATATGAATAGCTACTTTTTGTATGAGCACAGTATTTTTCATCCGTCCCCTTAATGATGTTGTCGCGTTTGCCATCTATTGCAAAGCTTGCTGCAAGTGGTCCATTCTGGACGACGTATGAAGATGACTGCCACGCGTCAACAGCAGGAACAAAACGATCTGGTAAAAAAAACTAACAACTTGAACACATTTGTTTTAATTCAGTTAGAATGAACATTTTTCAAAAACAATAATGTTTAGAATTGGAATATACGACGTTGTCTGAAACTAAAACATTCGGGGCAAGCAATGTTCCATTAACTTAACAAAACACATGAAAGGCCACCTTTGGGTCTTTGATGTTTTACCAGAGAGGATCACAAGACTTGAAGCAATCTATATTAAAAAGGAGGATAAGCATTTGAGTTGGGTTTTTTTCAGACAGGGTGATGAGTCACATGATTCTTTCGTCGAGCTGATTAGGTGAGTTTAGCTAAATAAAATCAACGTTAGTTGATATCATAATTTGAGACCTGTTCGTCATATTAGCCAAAGTCCATGACCCTTCTTTACCTCCCACCACAGTAATTGCTTCGCAAAAGAATTTTGTTTGTTTCTTTGTTTAAATTAGTGGATTTAAATTTACACTGAAAAATTGTTCATAAGGCGAGTTTTCAGCTTTACTGATGGAAAAAGACTTTGTCCCTCCTAAGCATTTTTACAAGCTGAGTCCCGAATTAAAACACCGACCATCCGTTTCATTATATAAAAGAAATTTGAACCCACAGCATTGATTTGAAGTTGACAACATTTGTCACTCGGTCACTGAGTCCCCCGTATTGCGATATTATTTAAAGAATCAGTAAGATTGGCAAGTTTGTATTAGATGTTAAAAGTATTTTGCAATGATACCAAAACATAACATGAAAGTCCTTGCAATACGACAAGGTTTGCAAACTGGAATAGTAGACACCAAATAACACTCATAACTGTACGATTTGTATTCAATATGCGTAAAACCTTTACCTTAACGAACTGACAATGGCCACATAGACAAATATAAATAACTGTGTCTCTCTATAAATCATAAGCTCTATACCATATGAATTTTAATGATGCAAAGGACATATTACCATCATAATAAATGTTCCAGTTGGATTCGGCAACTGTTGGAGGTGTCACCACCCCTGGAACGTATGTTGTTAGTTCGCAAACGCCCGTGTCCGCATTGTGGTTAACAGACGTACATTCATCCGCACCATTACATAATCTCGCACATTGTATTATGCTAGTGTTTAAATGTTGCACTAAATTATCACTATACCGTGCATTACTCGACGAGAGAGTAAACTGAGTGAACTTGCTGGTAAGAACTGTTTTAAATACAAAAATTGTGACACATTCAAGGATCCAAATCCACTTCTTGTCCTTAAACCAATGCATTGTATCGTTTTAAATTCAATGTTCATTACATTAAATGTAATTATTTTGCATCACAATTCTTACTTCAAATGCAGTAAAAATGCAATTATTTCTTTAAATGCAATGACACAATCCTTTCCTTAAATGCAATATTAACGCAATCCTTTTTTCTTCAATTATTTTACAATTAATTACAAGGTCCTCCTTCCTAATTCTCAATAAATTACGTTGTCCTTCCTTCTTAAAATAAAGTCTGATAAGTAAAAAGTATGCTTAGATTAAAGTCTAAACAGCTCAAAGTCTGAATGGCATCTGCAAGGTTTTTCAAAAAGAAATACCCTAGTGTCGGAGTAGCTTAATTTTGAATAAGCTTGAATCATAAGCATAAAATTCCGTTATTCATATTTAATTAGTTACTATTGTTAATCCATTCTATTTATTCGTATTTCACTCGTGGGTACTGCAACTTAACACATATTTATTTTTTCGATGATAATGAATATGATTTATAATAATAATAAAAAACAACCTGAATATCTGAATATCCTCTAGTGAATATTATCTACATAAATCATGTATTTAACATATACTTAAAAAGTAATTTAAATACAAGAAATGTTTTATCTTTTTAATATAACAGTTCTTGTCGGTTCTTTGCGTTTCTCGATAAATATGAAGTCCTGCATTCGGAACAATGGTTTTATTGTGTTGATGAATTCTGAATTGTTAAACTTGTTATCGCTACAGCTTGATTAATAATGCACCATGCGTTGAAAATTAATAGAATCTCATGCAATAAATTACACCGGTTTCAATTTAATATTAATTATTATTTTGAATACTAAATAAAGTTCTCATTTTTCCAAGGTCCGACAAAACCATTTGTTGTGACAACCAAAACTAAAGAATAAATATCATTATATTTTCACTGTGTTTGTTGACAGTTTAATATAACTGAAACAAGTGAAATCGCATACCAATTTTAGAACACAAAATCTACACATTTTATGAAATTATTTGTCATCAAAGAAATTTATTTGAGGACTTTACAATGAAGAACTCATGAAATGATGCGCCAGAAATTTGTAATTGGTAAACCTTTTTATTTGTTCAAACTGAATTTCATTGAAAAAAAAACTGCATCTTGTGTTCACTTGCGGAAAAATATTTCCTTCCGACACTGAAACAATGGCCCCTTTTTGGATTCATTCATTTTTTTTACAGCAAACATATAATCTCTAATAAAACTTTATATATATGGATGGGGTCTAAATTCTAATTAGGTCAAGTAGTACTCCAATAAACGGTTCCGATTATTTCCGCCTATTGCGCAATCCGTATTGATTGTTGCTTTGCCTCACAAGCCTGCTTTCAAAATGGCAGCCATATCATCAACCGAATTGTTTTTAGGCGATTTAGTTGTTCCAAATCATAAACAACGGGTTTTAGATACCAAAATGTTTGGTTTGGTCAACAGATTACGACATTGGATTTCAATTATGCCTAACAGGTGGGGAATAAGAAATACAATATTGCGTCCAAGATGGACGTCAAAAATAAAAAAGGACCATTTATTATTTTTCATTAAATTTCTCAGCTAAATATTTTAAACATAGTTGATTTTTAACATTTTGATATTAAATTTATTCCTTAAATGTAGTTTTAGTATCTATTTATAATGTGAGTAGATCTTTTATGATAAAAACAGATAATTATTATGAATATTAAATATTTCAAAAATTGCTGTTTTAATATATGATGTCCTTTACATTTTCTTCATTTTCTTGCAGTTTGATAATGATTTGTGATTTTATGACTGCATTACAAGAAACAACTTTCTACATACAAAATATGCCAATGAAAGTTATTAATTAAGTATAAGTTTTAGGATAATGTAATTTTATGTGTGTGGGGTACGGTGATAAATTTATTTAGATTTCAAAATACCACAGAGTACTTTTTTACTACTTAAAACATTATCTTCTTATTATTACATATTTCAGAGTCATTGCAGAATAGAAAATGCATTTATTTTGAAATATGAGGAGAATATAAGTTTTTCTTCAATTTAAAACCATTTAATGTTTTAACAGTCAATGTGTACTTCTTTTCCCTGAAAAAAAATTATACATATAAAATCTTTGTGGAATATTTCATAACTAAATATATAAAACGCAATATTAAGAATTAAGCTTTTCATTCGAAGACCTGTTCTACTGAAAATGTTCATTTAGTATGTAACTGAGCCGTTAAATGTCGCAACCTCCGCTAAATGTCGCTAAATCATATGGCGAGAAATGTCGCAATAGTTGCGGTAAATGTCGCACGATTTTCTCTTGCTCTTAAATGTCACAACATTACCATTTAATGCCGTAAGATGTATATTTATGATAAAATTAAAAATGATCGTATATTTCTAGTAACTTTAGTCCGCTCTATATAGCTATCAGCCGACTCAAGATGAACAGTGGTTTTTAAAGTGGATTGTTCTACAATGGGCACATTTTCAAAATATATTTCACATATTCATGAAAAAAGTAATAGAAACGTATTCTTTCAAAAAGTTTATTGAACAAAATATGTTAATGTAGTTCTATATGATTTAATATGATATTTTTATGATAAATAACTAATGTTTAATTTTAGAATTTCTTATTATCAATTTCCACATACGAAATATGTCTTCCTCCACCGTAAAGCTTCATAGTCGCTATCTGACCTTTCTGTGCTGGTTTGACGTTTTAATGTCCAAAACTAATTAGGAATTTGCATGCCTTAATCAAAAGAAATTTTAAAAGGGTGATAAGAAGAAATAAAATTCTTATTTGTTCTTTGTATAAAAACATGATTAGAAGTTCAAATCACGTTCATTACAAGACTATGTTAAAATGATAACGTGTAATTTGTCAAAACGTTGATGAAAAAAAAAACCGAAACAAAGTGATCCATCGAAAGCATTAATCACAACAAAATAACAAGATAATTGCAGACTCGGTTTGATTGAGTCTGTGCATGAGGGATAATGAATACGTGCAACATCAAGTTCCTGAAGTTGGCAAAAGAAAATATCACTCGAGAGCAAAATGAAAACAACGATTAACGGTGTAAATTACAGCTCGGTACATAAAATTTTGGTCTACTCGTCACTTTTGAGATTTAAATTAGGTCAAGTCATTCATAATGATTTTTGGGTGAAATCAGAGGTCCCTTTTATTCGACAAATAAAAACGAAAGAATATTTAATGGGATATTTTCATTGCATCATTTTTATTTGATATTTGTCTTACTAATATGAAATGTAGAATATTTTCCCCATTTATTTCTTTCAATATCTGCTCACGGAAAAGTGTGATATAGTCATATCCACTTTTGTGCACTAAATGATATTGGATTTCATATTTTTCATATTTTCAAACGTAAAATGAATCAAAGTGCTGAAGGCACTGCATTTGGGACGTATGAAGGATCAGAATAACTATTGTTTACTATTTCGGGGCAGATAATTCAATGAGTGAAGGGTCTTGCCGGTTGATAAATATAAAGTTCACAATTCAGTAAATGAACAGTAGTTGATATAATTATTCTATGACACACATGTTCAAATATAATATTTAGGTTAAATGTACGTGTAGGTCCATCACAAACCGTTATTGGCCTTTTTTGACAAGAGCAACAAGTGAAATAAGAGCTACCAGAGGAAACTGCAAGCTCGACTATTTTAACACATGACATAACTAGAAATATGTCATCATGCCACGGATGCCCCCGCATGCAGCCAAAATTTCAGATGTTATGCATTGAAAAGTTTTAAGGGCTTTGAACTTAAAATGAAAAAAATAATTTGTGCAAACAAATTTGGAACTAAATATCATTAACACAAACCATTTTCATAGAAAGTTCAAGGCAATGAAATTATTTGGTCTTTACCTTTTGAAAATAGCATATTGCATATTTGTAGCCAAAATAATGGCCACATACATTTCCACAAAAGTATAAGTGCTGAAACTGAAAGTTCAAAATTTTTCCAAACATTCAGAAGAGATAAGTTTGTCCAAAATCATTGAACCACGACCAAATTCAAACTAAAACTGCTTATTCCTAAGATGAATGTATATCATTTCAAAAGTGAAAGGGGCATAACACTGCCAAAAAATCATCGAACCATGACCAAATTCGAATTTGACCTGCCGATTCCTTTGACATATCCAAATGTCAAATTTGAGTTGAATGTGTTGTACCGTTGGGGAGATAATAAACAGAAAGTGAAAATTTCATATTATTTTAAAAGTGAAAGGGGCATAACTCTGTCAAAAATCATTAAACCATGACCAAATTTGAACTTGACCTGCGCATTTCTTTGAAGTATTCATATGTCAAGTTTGAGTTGAATGTGTTGTGCCGTTGGAGAGATAATGAACGGAGACTGAAAATTTCATATTATTTTCAAAGTAAAAGGGGCATAACTCTGCCAAAAATCATCAAACCATGACCAAATTCGAACTTGGGCTGTATGTTTTCATGACATATCCATATGTCAAGTTTGAGTTTAATGTGTTGTACCGTTGGGGAGATAATGAACGGAAACTGAAAATTTCATATAATTTTAAAGTAAAAGGGGCATAACTCTGCCAAAAATTATAGAACCAAGACTTAATTCGAACTTGACCTGTATTTCACAAGACATATCCATATGTCAAATTTGAGTTGAATGTGTTGTACCGTTGGGGAGATAATGAAGGAAAAACTGATGTTGACGGAATGACAGAATGACAGAATGACGGAAGGACGGAATGACCGAACAGGGTAACACTACATGCCCCGTCCATTACATTGCGGGGGCATAATAAAACAACTTGTAGTTTTAGTGATGGTTTGGAAAAAGCATTTTTAGCTTAAGGGAGATAATTAAAACATTAAGCAAGGCAGAGTTATGTTTCTTGAACACTGCACTTCATCTCAAAAGTCTCTATCACATTGTGAAGTTTTCATAAAATCCCTTCAATACGTATCTAGTCATATTCATATTCCGGACAAGTGTGTGAAGGACGGATGTCTTCCTAAGTTCAGACTGTGTTTTCTTTTCTTTTTTCATCTAAAATCTCAAGAACACCATAAAAACATATTTTCCTCCCATGAGCAACCTTTTCCCCCACAAGTACAAGTCTGTATGAAATGAACACAAATATTTATCCATAATATTACTTGAGTCCATACCGACAGATGGTTAAGACCGCAACTATATTCTCTCCCTTTTGGGAGCAAAAATTATAATAACATGCTAAATCTCCGTATAGTTCTATATCAGATACCAGTATGATGAACCTTGCTTTTGTACCTTTTGAGTAATATCAGAATTCAGATTTCATTGACATACAGAAAGGGGTCAGCCTTAAGTTCCCTCTTGATGAAAACAGAAGGGGACTAATAACAACAATTTGTTCTCATAGTTTCAATTCTCAGGTTTATTTTTTTTTTCATTAAACCGGGCAAGCTAAGATACATGTTAAAACTTATGAAGTATGCTAGAAAATCGAAAACAAAATTGGAGAAAGACTTTCACCTTGACGCACACTTTTCAACGTTCAAATGTATCTGACAATGCATTGTTCACTTCAACACAATACTAGCTTTGTCATAGATATTATGAATAACTTTAAGCATTTTC